ATCCAGTGGACTGGTGATGGCGACACACCTGAGAACACAAGCACAGCAGACACGAATGTCACAGTGGATGGACTGAAACCTGGGTCCTTGTACGAATTTTCCGTGTGGGTAGAGACAAATGGAGTCCTTAGCTCCTGGGAGGCTCTCAGTGCCACCTCAGGTGAGAGGCAGCCACCATTTGTTTTTCTTTCTATTTTTTTTAATGGGTGATGATAGATGGTAGTGGAGAGTTGACAGGAGAACATGGCATATTCTGTCACCCAGTGAACCTTTTGGGTCATGTTGAGTAGGAGATGAAGGAAGAACATCTACAGGGCCTCCAGGTTATGAATTGGGATCAGTCAGGGTCTAGGACTCTCTAGAATGTAGACCTTAATAGTAGGAGGTGTCTCTCCTTAACGACCAGGGCTGTGTAGGGGGCCAACGTATGTTCCCTGAGCTCTGGGGGCACTTAGGAATGTGGAGACTCTGACCCTCTGACTCTTCTAGTTCACAACTGTGTCACAGTTTTTTTGTGTGTGTGTGAGGAAGATAAGCCCTGAGCTAACATCCATGCCAATCCTCCTCTTTTTGCTGAGGGAAACTGGCCCTGGGCTAACATCCGTGCCCATCTTCCTCTAGTTTATATGGGATGCTGCCACAGCATGGCTTGACAAGCAGTGCATCGGTACACCCCAAGGATCCGAACCCGGGCCGCCAGCAGCGGAGCGCACGCACTTAACCACTACGCCACGGGGCCAGCCCCTGTGTCACAGTTTTGAGGATGGACGCTAGACCACCAGCTCCATCACTTTGACATGGACAGCTCCTCTGGTCTAGACCTCCAGTGTCCAGTACGATAGCCACTAGTCACGTGTGGCTATTTAAATATAAGCTTATTATAATTACATAAAATTACAAATTCAGTTCCATATCTCTTGTCCTCAAGGCCTCTGTTGAGAAGCTTCCAGTTCCATATGAGAATCCCACAGGGCTAGCGCTTGCTATATTGGACAATGGAAGAGGATTTCCATCTTCACAGAAATTCTGTTGGAAAGCACTGATCTAGATCCTTGCTACTCAAAGTATGGTCCATGGGTGGGCAGCACCAGCATCTCTCGAGAACTCACTGTAAATGCAGAATCTCAGTCCCATCCCAGACCCACTAGGTCAGAACTTGCATTTTCACTACATCCCGAGTTATATGCACGGAAAATAAATTTGAAACGCACTAGTCTAGACCATGCAGCTTAGCTGTGAGTGGGGGAGATGAGCAGGCTCAGATATGAGGGTTCTTGAGGATCCAGCTTCTTGAGGTGCTATCCTCACTTCTCAGCTCCCAGTGAAGTCATGGATCTACAGATTGAAACTCAGACCAACAACTCGATCACTCTGTCATGGAAGGCCCCCGCGGACCCCTACTCTCATCTCTTCATGTACTGGGTCCAGTGGGCCAGTGAGGGACATCCTCAGAGGGAGCGAGATCTCCGAGGACTTCAGACCAACCAGACAGGCAGTACCAATGCGACCAGGTATGAAGTGGAGACCCTGGAGCCCGGGACTCTGTACACCTTCAGCGTGTGGGCAGAGAGGAACAATGTAGCCAGTTCCAAACAGAGCCTCCGTGCATCCACAGGTGAGATGGGCCTCCTTTTACCTGGTGAGGGGTGTAGGTCAGACCTTGGGGGCAAGGAGGGGTGAGTGGACTACAAATCCCATTAGGCCATGGGGGGTCATGACTTAATAAGCTGCAGTGATACAGAGAGTCCAAGGGCTCATGGGAGTTGCAGTTTGAGGTGACCTGTTGTGTGTCCATTTGAGGACAATGGGAAATGAGGAATGAAGAGGTATTTTGGTTTGGGGGAAGGAAAGGATGGACGAGTTCTCAAAGAATTGGTGTCACTGATGGTGAACTGGGGGAGGGATGGAAAGCCATCTTGGAGGGCTCCTGCTGATTCCTTTTGTTCTCTCCACCTAGCCCCGGACCCTGTCACCATCACCTCCTGCATCAGCACCTCTGGGGGCTATGGGGTCATCCTGACCTGGTCCTGCCCCCCAGGAGGCTATGAGGCCTTTGAGTGGCAGGTGGGTAGACAGCAGGGCTCCCAAGACAATTCTTCCTGTGAGACGGGTGTATCCGTGTTGGGTCTCCAGCCGGCTTGGTCCTACACAGCCACCGTTACGACCATCTGGGATGGAATGAGGGCCCCGTCTACCCCCAGGACTTGCAACACCGAGAAAGCAGGTGAGCAGAGCCCCACGGGGACAGAGAGCTTTGAAGAAAGTCTCTCTAGACCCCATCAGGCTCTGTTGTGAGGGAGTGTCATGAACCCACGGGGGCCTTTTTGTTTGTTTGTGTTTTGTTTCCTGCCGTTTTAAAACAGTATTATTGAGACAGAATTCATATAACATACAGTTCACCCACTTAAAGTACAATTCAATGGCTTCTAGTATATTCTCTGTATTGTGCAACTATCATTACTATCAATTTTAGAATATTTTCATTATTCCATAAAAAAATCTTGCCCTTTAACCATCACCCCTTAATTTTTCCCCAGTTCCCTACCAACTATCCATTGGCAATCTCTAATCTACCTACTGTCTCTATAGATTTACCTGTTTTGGATGTTTACTAAAAATACAATCATACAATGTGTGGTCCTCTGTGACTGGCTTCTCTCACTATCAAGTTTTCAAGGTTCATCCGTTTGTGGCGTGTATTAGTGCTTCATTACTTTTCCTTGCCAAATAATATTCCATTGTACGGATAGACCCCATTTTGATTATCCGTTCATCCGATGATGGATCAGTTGGGTGGTTTCCATTTTTTGGCTATTATGAGTAATGCTACTATGAACATTCATGTACACGTTTTTGTGTGGATGTATGTCTTCATTTCTCTTGGGTATGTACCCAGGAGTGGAATTGCTAGGTCATATGGTAACTCTACGTTTAACCATTTGAAGAACTGCCAGATTTTTTTCCACCATGGCTGCACCATTTTTCACTCATCGGTGGGGTATTTGAAGAAGTTCAAACCTCATGCTCAGGAAATCTTTGGTCATGTACCATTGACTGTGGTTGTGGGCCTCCCTGGGCCACATCAGTCACTTCCCAGGAATCAGAGCCTCTTATAAGTTTGGGTCTCTCCTCTGGAGAGATACTGCAGGTTGGTGAAATGATAAATGGGTGCTACTCCAAACAGGGCTTGGGTGGATCCCACTGTCCAGGAGTGTCCCTCGCTTAGCAAAAAGTGTCTCTGAGAGCACAGATCCTCTTGGATCTTGGGCTGGATCACTCTTTGTGGCAGGGGACTTTCCTGTGCATTGTAGAATGTCGAGCAGCATCCGTAATTAGAGGCCGGTGGCACCACCACCCTAGTTGTGACAACCAAAAACCTCTCCAGACATTGCCCGATGTCACCAGGGGGCAAAATCACCCTTGCTGAGAACCACTAGTCTAGGTCAAGGAGGGGGAAAGTTATTCTTCAGCAACCAGGTCACCTGAGGAATGATGTTTTTGGACCAGGCTCCTTGGGAACCAAGAGTCTAAGAGGAAAGGTTGGGTGGGAGGTGGGGCTTTATCCAGAAGATTTCTCCTTCCCATTCTCTGCCCCAGCATCCACGCTGCAGGCCCTCTGATCACAGTCTGAGCAAGGACAGACCTAGGAGAGACAGGACACAGGACATAAGACCAGGGCTCTAACGCTCCCCATGCATCCTCCCCCAGGGGTCATTGCCGGAGTCGTTGTCAGTGTCCTCCTGCTTCTCATCATGGTGGTCCTGGTGGTTTTCTTCCTGAAGAAGAGGTAAGACTTGGTGCAGGACTCACCAGCCACCTGGAGGGTGGGGGCTGGGGGAAGGGTGAGGATTCCTGGATCCAGCCTCACTCCCTGAGCCTTTCATCCCAATGTCCTTTTCCCAGGCGTAAGAAGAGTGAGAAGAAACCAGCACCCATGGATCGAGACTACAGGTGAGAAGGAGGTTTTGTGGAGCATCCAAAAGAGTCGCTCTCAGGTCAAATCAAGGGGTATTTTCTGGTCATTGGATAGGTTAGAGGGCGGGGTCAGTGAATCCACTCACACAAGCCTAATGATCTCTGTGACAGCGATCACCTTCTATGTGTCAGGCACTGTTCTAGGTACTGAGGAAACAGTGAGTTAAGCAAAGATTCCTGCCTTCATGGAGCATACATTCTAGCACAAGAGGACATAAATAAACAGGATAATAAAGAATGTGACACTTACTTGGAGACAAACAAAGCAAGAGGTGGGGACAGGAAGGGTAGAGAAATATTCTAGAGAGGGTGTCCAGGAAAAGCCTTCCTAAGATGATGACTAAGAAGAAGTCATTTGAGCATAGACTTGAAGCAAGTGAGGGGAGGAGCCATGTGCACATCTGGGGAAAAGGCATTTCCAGGCAGAGGGACCAGCAGGTGCAAAGGCCCTGAGGCAGGAGCCTGAATGAAGGGGAAGGTAGAAGGTAGTAGGAAATGAGGTCAGAGAGGTATCTTGTGGGGCCAGTTCAGGTAGTTCCTTGTAGATGAAAGTAAGGACTTTGGTTTTATTCAGAGATAGGAGTTTTGGGAGGGTTTTGAATAGATCAGTGACACAATCTCACATATTTAAGAAGCAGAGGCAAAAGCAAGGAGACAGAAGAAGAAGGTTGTAATAACCCAAACAAGGGGTGATGGGTCTTGAACCAGCAAATGGTTAGAGGTAGTCAGATTCAAGATATAGTCTGAGTGTTTAAACAACAGATCTGCTTAAAGGATGGATGTGTGGTATGAGATTCAGAGAGGGCTCAAGTGTGACTCCAAGGAATTTAGCCTGAGCACCAGGGAGACTGGGATCACCATTGCTTGAGATGAAATGACTATGGATGAGCAGCTTGGGGGTATCAGGTATCAGGAGCTCACCTGTGGACACATTAAGTTTGAGACGTTTGTTGGACATGCAAGTGGAGACGATGAATGGGCAGTTGGATCGACAGCTCAATGGTTCGATTGTGCAAATGTCTTCATCACTCTGAATCCTCTTTTTTTTTTTTTTTTTT